TGTGGGCTTTGAGTTGGTGGTCATGATGGTGTACTTGGGGTTGTTTGAGGATGTACAGGAAAAGTTGGTTTTGCTGATGCGATGTTGTTGTTATATGTAATATGGACTGAATTATCTTGGGAATCTTCTCCCTTCCCACTTTCTTTGTATTTCTTTCAGGTGGAAATCTGCACAGCGAGGCGGAAAGAAGTGGTGTTGATGCCGGATGAGGAAGAGTAGTCGGATAAACTGCGCCAAGTACAAAACTTCCCACCACGTTCTCGTATCCAACCTTTCGTCTTTGTCAGCAAAGAAAGGGGAAGAGACTATTCCATCACCCACATCCCCACTTTTCACTCCTTGTACAATCCAAGCCAAAAACCAACACACAAGCACTAGAATTTCCAGTCACGCCGCCAGTTTTAAACAAAAACTTCTCTAGTTGTTTCGACATTATGCAAAAATAATAATCAAAATGACAAAAACCCATATCGATGATTCCTGACATACATCTATCCACACCTACACACACGAGCGAAAAAAAAAGAAGAAACCTCCCAATACTCCAATCATTCCCATAAACGACAAGTTTCCCAAGGTATCATCTCCAACCAAAAATTGCCATACAAGCTGGCAAATAAACAACCAAAAAAAAGCGCAGAAGCAAAATAAGACAAGACAGAGTGAGTAAGAATAGTGGTACAAGCGAAACCACAATCGACTGAAAAAGATAGAGAGATGAGAGAGGGGAAAAAAACAAGGGGATAACTGTTATTCCCTTCTCTCCTCGCTCAACTCGATAACGAACTACCAGAAAAGAGAAGAAAAAAAGAGAATCATTTCGATCTCCACCTAGTGCCCAAGCACTGAGAGAAGATAATACGATAAACACTCGCACGTAAGAGGAAATGACGGGAGGGGGATATAGAGAAGAAGAACAAAAACAAGAGGAATCACGCACCCCCCATAACAACATCATCATCATCCTCTCCCTCAGCATCAATATCCATCAACCCCTCATCCTCGTCGTACTCGCCATCCACATCCTCGTCTTCCTCCTCTTCCTCATGCCGTTCCATTTCCTCCTCCTCTTCTCCTTCTGCATCTTCATCTTCATCCTCTTCATCTTCCTCATGAATTGGTACTTCGCGCCCTTTGCCCTTGAGATCGAAGCTCGCGCGGGATGAGCTGGCCGAGCTACGTGTGCTGCGTCTGCCACCATTGAGTGTAAGGGGTTTTACGGCGCCGCCACCGCGTGAGGCATCGTGCTCGACTTCATCGCCGTTTGTGACGGTTTCGCCGAGGCGGCTGCGGGTGCGGCGCAGGGATACGGTCCCAGGGGTGAGGCCGCCTCCGTTGGCTGAGGGTGACATTTGGGCTTTTGCGCCGCGGCTGGGTGAGAGTTGGATTTTCGAGACGGGCGCAGTGTGGATCGCCATGGGGGTATTGCGGATGCGGTTTGGTGTGCTGGTTCGTCGGCGCGACCCGAATGGGCGGCCTGGACGCCGTTTTTGAGCTGGTTGGCCGGGGATGGGTGGGAAGATTTCGTAGCGGGTTGGTGGGATTGCAGGTTCCTCCATGTGTGAACCTGCTAGAGCGATTGTAGATCCGTTTGCGAGGGGTGTTCCGGGAGCAGGGGAGCCGCCGTTGGTCGAATCTTCGGCAGCAAGCGCATGCGCAGGAGCAGGTGGGAAGGGTTCGGTGTCTCCACCATTGCCATTCGCCTTTGCAACATCCATCTGCACGCCCTCTTCTGCTGCGGGTTTCTCTTCGCCTTCGTCGCGCTGTTGGACTGTCTGCAGAGCTGGACCATCCTCATACTGACCAAGTCGACCCATAACGTACGGAGTCCAGACAAGACATTCGGGATTAATCTTGGGATTGCTTGCGGCGTTGCACTTTTCAATGTAGGACTTGAAGTACTCCAGATCGAGCCGTAGTGCGTACTTTTTGGTGACAGGATCGCGGACCAGGGCCCGCAAGCCCTCCAGTGCGGATATAATGTCGTCAGCAGTCATGCCTGTGCGGTCGGATATGGCTGATATGCTAATTGGTTGTTTCTGTTGCAGTAGCTCCTCACATAGCACAAGCCGCCAGTACTTGCGGTAACTTACAAGACCCATGTCACTGAGAGGCTTCTCGGGACTACCAGTTTTGCGCTCTACACGGGTGAGTAGGTAGGAAAACTCAATCAGATACTGCCCATAACCTTTGCGCTGGTGAATGGGTAGCACAAGGATACACGAGACATTATTGAGTGAGCTTGGTCGTTTTTCTTTGGAAAAGTAGCCGACAAAATGACAGCCAAACTGGTCGTTCTCCGTCATGACATAGAACAGAAATGGCTCAACGTCATAGTATAACGTTTTAGAGCCGAGGAAGAGTTTGGCAAGCAGACAGAGGTTTTGGCAGTATACAGGGTTCTTTCTACCGTCGACTTCGAAGAAAGAGTATTTGCCGTCGCGGTATATCTCATCGCCAGGTGGGTGTTTTGCTGGGCATTTGAGCTAGGCTTGTTAGTAATGCTAGGATAACAACAGGGATACACGCACCTTATGCCGCCACGCGACATAGTCGGAATTCATGTACTTGAGACAGAACTCGCAAATGTAAAGCACCCTGTTCTTGCTATACTCCTCCGGGTAGGGAGCAGCATGCCAAGTGTCGATCTCCCATCCGCCAAAATTAACACACTTGATTTTGCTTGCAGTGGCTGCTTGCTTGTGTGACCGTATTGGCTCAGGTGGGTAAAGAGCGGCTTGCTTGGCTTTCCAGTCTTCCTCAGCCTTGATCCGAGCGTCATCGAAGCGCTTCCGGTCGGCTTGCGTAGGGTATGTCTTGGAAGTATCCGCATCAGCTTCCGAAAGCACTCCGCCGTAGGGTTTGCTCTTGGACTCGTCCGTCTCCTTGTCCATGAAACCTGCAAAAGGCGTGGGATATTGAAGATGTATAGCTGGGTAGTGTGGGCCCTCTGGTGATTCTCGCGCCGCCTGTGCAGCGCGGCGATTTCTTTCGCGACGCTCTCGATCTCTCTCACGCCGCCTCTCCTGTCGTTCTTGCTCAATGGTAAGTGGGACCTTTTTCTTTGGTTTCGAAGTCACAATCTTTTGAACCTTTTCGTTGTTGAGATGGAAGGCAATAATCAAGCTAAGACCTCGTGCTTCTTCTTCAATCCACGCGAGTGGTCTCTTATCGGTTCTTTTTGGTTGTCCACGCCGCGCTCGTGCTGGTCGTAAACGGGTGGTTTCCCGGTCTGATCCAGTATGCTCTGCATCGCCCCCACTTTCATGACCATCACCCATGGCACTACGAGCACTTCGCACGCTTCTCGACGGCGGTCTGGGTGAGTTTGCAGCTATTGATGGGGCCGCATCCGAGTGGGTGGCCTCCGATGGTCTCCTCTTTTTCCTCGTTTGCCGTGATGGCATAGGTGTTGATGCCTCATCTCCATGCGAAGTTTTGCGCTTCCGCAGCGAACGGAGGCCGTCTGGTTGCTCATCTGGAAGGATCAAGTCTTTGAAGATGGAATGTCCTGCTGGATCAACACCACGCAGTGAAGGGAGCAACTCCTTGGTAAGCTTGTTGGAAGAATGCCTACGACGAGCTGCAGGCTGTTGGGGCTGGGCCTCCTCCTCTTCCTCTGTTGGAAAATTGTCGAGGCAATGATCGCATCGCCAACGCTTTGCATCTAGCACTTGTTAGTGGAGCCAGATTGGGCGTGACAAGAGAGCATACCGTCATCGGGACTAAGCGTGTTAGCGCCATGAGCGCATTGCCGATGTGCTGCAGGGACAACATGTCAGCTACCGAAGCCAAGGCCAAACATTCGCAGTGGACCACTCACCATTGTCTCCACACACGGCGCAAGAGAGGTACTCTTCAAAGTCAGGGCTGGGGTCGTTGTCTTCGTCTTGTTTGCAGTATCTGGTTCGAGTCAGTCTACACTATCGGACTTGGAATTGCCCAGAGCAATACTGACATGCACACATTGGGGTTGGACGACTTGACGAGCTCGTCTTCGTCGCCGTCTTCGCTCCCCTGCCACTGGTTTTCTTCTTCAGAGTCGGCGTTTGTTGAGTCGTCGCTGTCGCTGGACTTGGCATCCGATGATTCTTTTGCAGCATCTTCAACATCGTAGTCGTCTTCCTCGTCCGAAACGGACGCTCGACGCGCTATCTTGACATCGCCCACCGGCTCAGCGTCGTCTTCGTCGTCGTCGACCTCTTCGCCCTCGGCATCCACATCTGAGCCTTCAGCGTCGGTTGTATGACCGTGGGTGTCGGGAGCGGGCTGGGCGACAGGAGGCTGCGCGTACTCGACATCATCCATCTCATATTCGCCATCAGCATCCAGGTCGTCCAGATCGGTGTTGCTCGCGGTCTGACCCATGAGCTCCGCCATGGCCAGGTTGACGGCAGAGGCCACCTTTGAGGCTAGAAACGCCAGTGTCGCAGTCCGAGGGTTGTGTGAGCCTTAACACATGGGATGGGTGGGTGGTGGCAGCCCCGGAGGCTAGTGGGAGCGGCGGTTGGTGAACGCGTCGTGTCTGTACTGCAGCGCGTTGTTGCGGGCTGGGGAGACGCCCAACCGCGTTTCTTTGGATAGAAGCAGATGTGGCAGAAATCCCGCCGGCAGCCAGTGATTGCAGTGAGATGTGGCGGGCTCGTGGTCGCGTTGTTGGGTGCTGTGGGGAAGGCGGAGGAGGGCAGTGGCAGCGGGCGCAATTGTTCCGCGGAGAGGCGAGGTCAAGGTATCGGGATCCGTGGTTCGTATGAAAGTGGGAGTCGGCGCGACACTGGCAATAATTGTAGCTTGTCTGAAAACGGCGTGGGCGGAGCGTTCTGGTCGTCTGAAGTGGCTCTCTCTCTGCCCGTAGGTCGGGGAGGCCAAGACACGCACGGCCGCATCCTCAGTTGACGACGCCGGCACCTCTGCCCTAGCTTCGCAGTCGACGACGACGACATTGACAACCACCACCACCCCCACAGCACCACTGCGACTGCATATACACAACCGCAACCATGGGTGTCCCATTCGAGGCTCTTCTGCCCTATGCTATCATGACTGGCGTGAGTCAATGGCGCCCGGCTGCGGCGGGCGGGGGAGATGACTAACCGGGCTGCAGTTCTTCGCCTTCAGCGCAGTGTCGGTCGGAAAGCTCAAGGAGATTCAGAACGGAGGAAAGCGGACGCGACGGGGTATCGATGCATGGGACAGGGTGAGTTGTGGACTGTGAGGGCCGAGGGCGCATCGAGCGGCTGCTAACATGGCTACAGCAAAGTACCACTCCACTCAACCATGACCTCATGCCATACATGCACTCACAAGACGCCAGTGATGGAACGCGACCGCCGACTAACAGGCTTCATGCGTGGCCAGACCGACAAACCCGTCGCCCCCGCCGGCTTCGAACTCAACAACCCGTGGAGGGTACGTACCGAGACAGACGACATACAGTCAGGTTGATGCTAACCACGCCCCCAGTGCGAGCAACGATTCTTCTAGGCCCATGTACTTCTCTAGCACCCCCACGACGCACTATGTCGAGCGACACGGACCCGGTAGATATTAAGCAATCAATTCTTTTCTACTTAATCTCGGAAGGCATACCAGCAATGCCGTCGCGCTCTGCCTGCGTGAGCTTGATGCCAAAGTACTTGTCCAACCCCTCGACTCTCTCTGCTTCGCTCTTGAACTCGATTTCCTTGGTCTTCTTCCCACGTATGTTCCATTTCAGCGTTGCGGCTACCATACTCATCTTGCCTATCAACTCGCCGCCTTCAAGAATCTTCTTGTCTGCTATGATCTTGCTTGTAAAAAAGATGTGCCGACTGGTGCTGGTGAAGTAGTTCATGGCAAAATAGTCCTGCAGCTGGAACTCAAGCTCGGAATACGCGTACTTTATTTCCCAGTCGCTGTCGTCGCTCCTCCGGTACTCATAGACCCAGAGACGCTGGTTGGGATCCACGTTACCGGGGATGTTGCGCCATTGGAGGCGAGCTGAAGCAGGCTGAATGTGCTTCTGCACCGTGCCTGTGGGATCCAGAGGCATGGGCACAATCGGACCATCGCCGCCAAAGCCAACATCAACATGGTACTTGATACCGCCAATGGTGATAAAGTTGATGTAGTGCATCCAACCCCCCGAGCTGGTGCCTTCGAAGACGCGACCAGCGCCCGAGTAGAGGGTGAATCCGAGCGAGGTCAGCAGGGTGCCGAAAAGGCAGTTGTTTTCCATGCAGTAGCCACCACGGCCATTGTTGTCGCCGATGATCTTGTTGAACAGCTGCTCGGGGTGCACAGACACTGAGTGATGGGCCGAGTAGTGCAGCGCGAAGTTCTCAAAGGGAATCTCTGCAAGATGCAGCTTTTGGAGCAGCGCCAGGTAGTTCAAAACGTCAGCGTTGGGAAGGCTGGCTACGCTATATCGGCGCTGTTCCTGCGGTAGCTTGAGCCGATCGAAATAGCGGGCTATTTGAGACTGCGAGTAAGTTGGTCGTGCACTCATGATGGTCAGCTTTGGCGTGAAGAGAATGACGCGTCGTCGGAGTCGCAACCGCAGCGCTGAGCAAGCGCACAAGAACAACACATTCGGGCAGAAGAGCAGGTGGCGGTCATGGTGGAGTCAAAAGGAAACGGGCCGGCCAGCGAATGTGAATGCGAGACCAAGGTCTGGGCGGAGTGGGCGGTAGTGGGGATGTGGATGTGGATGGCTGTGTGCCTGCCAAGCGCATGAAGTAGCGAATCTCCCGCCCCTTGACGGGCGGCATTGCACCGCATTGAGGCCAACCTCGATGCTGCTCTAATACATATGGAGTAGAGTCGTAGCGCCCTCCTCTCCTCAACACTCGCTGCCACCCTCCACCGCCATGCCTCGCGCCCCGTGAGGCCCCAACTCTCTCGCTGGCTGCTACGCGCATCCTGTTCCTCTGCGCCCCCGTCGCCCTCTCTCTCCGCACCCTCTCCGCTCCCCACCGCCTCGACTCGCCCACTCGCCGCCCGTTGCGACTGCGAGCCACCATGAGCAACAATGGCCTGCGCACCCAGTTCCCCTATGCGGGCGACGCCCTCAGCCCCCGTCCCCAGTACGGCTTCCCCTCGCCCACGTCAAACTACCCGTCCGGTGTTGAGGCTCCTTCGCCTAGCTTCTTCCCTATGGCCTACCAAATCTCGCCGCGCTTCGGTACCAGCGCCTTCATTCCCCCTCCAGACGTCTTTGTAGACGGCCGCCGGGAAACTGTCCGCGAAAACGGCATGTACACACCGCGCAACTCGGGAAAGCGCGGCCTCGATGCTCTCAACACCGACCCTGTCGCCATGCACCTGCTGGTCGAGACGGCTATAGGAGACAGCCAGCAGTTTGACATCCTCACCGTCGAGGAGGTCGACGCGCTCAAGCAGGAGCAGAAGGTGCTCGACACCCGCCTGGCCACGGTCCGCCGCAAACTCGAGTCCGAGACCAAGATCCGCGATGCCACCCGTTCGCTCGGCCGCCTCGCTGGCACCAAGGGAAACGGTCACAAGAGAGGCCTGGCCAGCAAGGGCAGCAATTCAGTCCCCGACTACGATGCCAAAGAACAGGAAGGTTTGGAATCGAGCAACCGAAAGGTCGAGGAGTTTATCCGCGAATGTCTGGAGATTGAGTCTCGCATGCGCATGATTGACATGCAATTGCTCATGCACACAGCTGCCGTGCTCCAACTCACGCACAAGGGACCCAAGCAGCGTGAAGAAAACGACCAGTCGTCAGAGGATCGCTTTCGAAGACCGGACAGCCCCGCCAGCCTCGACACGTACGATGATACCCGGCTGAACGGCATGGGCGCGGGTGTTTTTGACGAACGAAGCCTCTACCGAACCCCGGAGAACCTCGACAATCTCATGGCCGTACTCCAGAACGGAACCCACCACCAACCCGAGCGGTCGAATCAAGCATTTGGCGCACTGGCCACGCGGCTCCAAGAAATGAATGAGCGACTACGCAATCTCATCATTGAGGCCAACCCCGAACGAGATGAGGATTACTCTTTGCCGCCACTTGTGCTTGAAGGAACATTGGATGCTTCAACCATTGACCGCCAGCTCGACTTTCTCGACCAGGGTATCCGCAACATCAGCGTAGAACAAGCCAATATCCGCACAAACTCCAGACAGACGCTGAGCGAGGTCGAAGGCCGCCTGGAGAATATCAATAACCAACTTTATTCGGTCCTTTCCCGCTCTGAGAACGAACAAAACGAGAAGATACTTCCACCACCAGCAATCAACGGAAATGGCTCCACAGAGCAGCTCAACTACATGGAGGATACCTTCTACAACCTCGAGCAGATCCAGTTTGCCATGGCTGAGCGCATCAAGGAACTTGGCTCTGGTGCTTCCATGGGCGAGGACTCTGAAAAGGCTGAAAAGTATGAGAGTACAATTAAGGGTCTGTGGGACATGATCCGAACTGGTGAGGAGCAAGCGCTCGAACGCAAGCGTGAGCGACGCCGACTGCTTGCCGAAGACCCAGATGCCGACGAGCAGCTCTCCCCCGACGAAGACTTCAACAGCAATGAGCAGTACTCGCTTCTCGCCTTTTCCTCAAAGATTCAGTTCCTTTTCAAGCGTGCTACTAGTCTCAAGGAGAAGCAGTCGGTTCTTCTGCGCCAGATCAAGCAGCAACGTGAACTCAACAGCAAGTCTGATGCACAAAAGGAGGCAGACTTTGAGCGTCTCAACACTCAAATTCTCAGTGCGAGGTCCGAAAAGAAGTCGATGGAAGATGAACTCGAGCGGGCCATGAGCCAATTGTCGCAGTTTGATGCACAAAAGGGCAATGCCGATACAGAGGTTCTGCGCGAGACACAAGAACGTAATGCGGGACTTGAGGCTCAGCTGATCAATGTGCAAGAGCGTGTGATTGCATTCGAATCAGAACTGAAGGAGGCCAAGCAGCGTGTCGTCGCCTATGAGAACCAGCTCAAGGACGTCCAGGAGCAGGCTGTAAACTACCAAAGCAAGCTTCAAGACGCTGAAAAGCGCGCTGCTTCGTACGAAGAAGAGCTCAAAGACCACCAGCAACGCAACAGTGCATACAATGTCTCGTCGCGAGAGGCAGAGGAACGCACTGCTGGCTACGAGGCCCAAGTACGGGATGCCCAGGAGCGCGCTCTTATGCTTGAGAAGGAACTAAGAGAAGCCCGCGGTGAAGGAGAAACTCTCAAAACCCAACTTGCCGAGTTAACGCAAAGGACCGACCAAGCCACCGCTGCTCTGCAAGCAGTGACTGCAGAAAAGGAAGCATCCGAAGCCCGCTCCCTCGACGCAACCAACATGCTCAACGCAAAAGAAGAAGAGTTCCGCAAACTCGAAGGCGAAATTGTCCGCCTAACCACGGAACTCACCTTCGCCAAAGCCGAACTCGACGGCGCCTACGGTACCCGCGCCCAGCGCGCCGCCGACTCTGCCGCCAACCCGGCCATCAAGAAGGAACTCGACGAGCTCGCCGACCAAAACCAGGCCCTCCGCGGTGAACTCGAGGCCCTCCGCAAAGTCCAAGATGTGGCCTCGCAATCCGAAGCCGAAGCCCGCCAATCTGAGCGCAACCTCAAGGCTGAACTTTCTGCCATGGCAGCGGAATACGAGGCTCTCACTCGTGATGCTATTGCCAACGAGAAGGATCGTGATGCGCTTGAGTCCCAGATTGACAAGCTGAGGGATGACAAAGAGGCCCTTGAGCGGGAGCTCAGCGATGAGAAGGTCAAATGGTTGGGCATTAGGAGTCCGGGGACTCCAATGGGAACTGGATCCGGTGCTATGCAGTTGGAGATGGGAGCTACTAGTATTAGGATGTTGAGAGAGGACTTCAGGAAGATGATGAGGGATCGCACGGCCGAGGGGCTGAAGGCTTTGAGGGTATGTTTTTTTCCCTTTTTTTCCCTCAACTGCTTTGGGGGTTTGATGCAATGTGGCTAACGTAACTCGAATAGGCTGAACAGGAAGAACGCAGAAAGCTAGAGGCGGTCGTGAGACAGCTGCGCAAGGAGTCGTTGCCACAGCGCTCGAATCTCTCCAGGACGATGACGACGCCGCATTAATTCTGATTTGACTTGTCCAATCTTCTTTTTCCCGGGTGGGAAGATATGACGTTTTTTTGTTAAGATAAAGAAGATGCTGATTTAACGTTGTTTCCCCCTTTGTCCAATTCTTCTCGACGGAACAGGATCTTTTTTCCTTTACGCATCAATTGGAAAGAAGAAGATAATATATCCCTCATGTAATCTTTGTTTTAGTTATACCCTTTACTCGCTACCTCTTTTTTCAGAGAGAGGAAAAACCTTTTATGTAAAATCTCTCGTCTTCTTCTTCTTTTCGGTTACACTTTTTCTACGCATTTTGCAACATGTCATTATGGTAGATGGGGAAGTACGTAATCTAGACTCTTTTTTCTTTACTAGGGCGTTTGAGAGAGGAATCCGTTCTTACAGAGGGAAGGGGCAAGGTAAGGAGACATGTACGCAAGGTATAGAATACTTGAAACAAATGTTTAATGTCAAGTTCATCTTCTATATTTTTTTCTCTTCTTATCTGGCCGAGAATGAAACTAGGTTTCAGGCTTCGATAGCAACACTAGGTCCTACATCCTTGATTCTACCTTCCAACCTCGGCGCAATAGCTCGTGTCCAATTGACCTGGAACTCGCCGCCGCCTAGCTCATCGCAGAGCGAAGGGTTGCCCTTGAGACCTGCTACGCGCCACCATTTACGCATTACGCGGCGGATCATTTCGATCTGGTGGTCTGAGAACTTGATGGGCTTTGATTTGTCTTCTGCAACCAAGGGTCCATCGTCTTCGTCCTCGTCGGCATCCGGGTCTGACGATTCCGATGAATCAGGTGGACTGGACTGGCCGACGACTCTGCTTATGCTGGGGTGCTGAGCGGGTGTGGATTTGTCTGGTGAACGAGGTGAGGGGTCGTGGAATGCGTGACCATGGTTTTTCTGGAGGTTAGTTTGGATAGAGTTGAATTTGTTGTTCATTGAGTCGCCCCAGCGCTTCCATTTGCCCATGACTTTGAGCGACATGAAGTATTGGCGCAGAATGGTGGAGATGAGCACGCCGTTCTCTTCGGATACGATTTCTTTGGCGACGCCGCCTTCTTCTTCGATCAGGAGGGATGTGTAGCCATCTAGTTTTAAAAATGTTAGCCGCAAGGTTCTTAGGGAATATCAATAAAGATGAAATGACGTACCTTTTCCACGACCCATGTACCCCCTCGTAGCTAGCACGTACTCTCTTGTCTCATCCACTGGCTCCTCGCCAATCATAACGCTCTTGATGCGCGAGTGAGGTGGCTGTGAATAGTCTGCTTCAAAGACAATATTTGAGACTTGGGGAAATCGGCCTTCCAAGGCTGGGTAGTTGCTCACACCATTCTCCAGTGCCTCTCGTATTGCTTTACCAGTGACTTTGAGAACAACGACAGGATCCTCAAACGGAAAGCAGTTGACCAGATCTCTCAGCTTCAGCACGCCAGGTGGGTAGATTTGATCACCCCGGATAGTTCCTGCTGCCATGATGCAACAATCGGCTGAGTAGTAGTATCGCATGAGGTCACAAACAAAGTTGCCTATATTTGACTCCTTTGTTCGTACAGTGGTGAATCTGGCATCGAGAGGCGCGGCAGTGTATCCAATAGGCTTATCCAGCCTCTTCCTAATCTCTCGTGTCTGCTCCTCGACCAATGCCATGGCTTGTGGGTCTTGAGGTATGCTGCCGACGACATCCCGTCGCACAATCTTAAAGTCCCAGCCCTTACCCTCTGGCCTTCGCCATGCTTCAATATGTGAGAGTTGCTTGAAGTCTGTACCGGATCTCAGTACCTGCGTTCCATTGATGAGGCTGTACGAGTAGTAGTGGTCATGGCCACCGAGGATTATGTCAATCAACTCTCCTCCGCATTGCTTTGCCAGCTTGTTGTCATTTGGTTCACGCTGATGCGACACGCAAACAATAATCTCAGCACCTTGCTCTCTCAATCCCGGAATGAGCTCCTTTGCCGTCTCTGACGCGCTTTTATAGATGATATCTGGTGGTAGAGAGTTGATTGTATCGAGCCACTCTCGTTCAGCAAGTCCAATGACACCAACTTTGATGCCATTGGATGCCGTGAGGATAACTGTTTTCTCCGCGTTTCCGAGCGGTACACCGTCGCCGAGAGCTGGGTCGTGAACGTTGGCAAGAAGCCATGGGAATTTGCATTTGCCTGTGAGGTAGCGGTACTGCTTGACGCCAAAATCGAGGTCGTGATTCTGGTTGAGGGTCAGATATGGCTGAACTCAAGGAGATGGATGTACTTACACCAACGCAAGACACGTCTGTACCAATGGTATTGAGTACAGGTACCATGTGACGGCCTAATTGTGTCTGTCAGATTATCTCTCAACAAAGCTCAACAATATTAGTGTCCTGACCTTTGGTGATGCTGCTTTCAATGCTTGGATTGAAGGCATCTCCGGAGAAGAAGGTCAAGAGGTTTGGCTGCCCTTGGAACCTCTCATCATCCCGGTAGTAATTGACCAGAGTCTGAAACCTCGCATAACCTCCAACTGGCTCTCTAGATCCGGCTTCGACATGGTAAACATCATTGTAATGTAGGAAGCGAAGGTCTGGCGGGGCGTTTGGGACCCCGCCTTGAGGCTCGCAGATGAGCTGCTCCTCGGCTGAAGGGGTTTCTGATGGTGCCATTGCAGAGTCGTCAGAGTGAATTGAAGAACAACGGGACAAAACGAGCAATCTATGGAATTGAAGCACTTATGTCCGCCTCTTCAAGCGGTGAGGTATGCTGCATCATTGCTGCGAGTTAGCGCGCCAGGGTCCAGATGGCCCGTTTGGCTGTACTGCATGGCATTTATACCACAGCCAATCACAGCGAGGCAGTTCCACGACAGGAGTGGATCTCCAGGGGCAGTGCTGGGGGTTGGCGGGGATCCGGCAGCCAGTCCACACACGACCAAGTACCATGCACACGCGTCAGACCCTTCGGCTTCCACTACTCTTGACACCACTAACAGCGTGTTCAGAATATGATTGTCTACAATCAGCTATGCTACACAAAGGGACTATGATGATGGGCTCATATGCAATAAAAGCGATGAGTACTCGAGGATGCGCTTCTCAATGCAGGATCCAACCATGCAAAACGCCAAATAGTCCGCCACGATGGATATCGCACGCCCAACTACCACCGAAGTAGCAAAAACAGTGCCACGATACCTGCCTTTCCAAAGAAGAAAAGAAAACACCGCCAGAACCCACACAGAAGAATCAAAAGAAAACCAGACCCAAGCCGGAAGCCCTCACAGAGCATTCCAACCATCCCAGAGATTTAACCTAGCCTTGCCCTTTCCCTTCGGGCCTTGCCTAGACCCAGCTGTCGCCGGACCCGTCCCAGAACGCCTTGAACTCCTTCCTAATTCCTATTGTCGACTACTTCCCGGACGGCCCCCCTTAGCCTTGGCTTTGGCATGTGTGTCCTTGCACTCGTCGCTGCAGAACCATTTCGCCCGCCCCGTAGGCGGCTTCTCAAGGTGTACGCAGCCGAGATGGAACCACTCGCGCGGGCAGTCATCGTTGTCACAGGCAATCATGTTGCCATACGACACTTCGTTGCAGTAGCAATATCGAGGCTCGTCTCCGTCTTCTTCTGATTCCACCTCAGCCTCAGCTTCGGGCTCGGCTTCTTGATAGTCTTGTTCTTGTGCAACAGAGCTTGCCGCCGATGATGTAGGGTTCGATTTGACCTGGGACGTGGCCTTCATCGCTGGAGATGCATTTCCAGCATTGGTGTTTTGTTGTGCGTTCTTCTTCTGACCCCGTTTTGACACGGTGCCAGTAGTTGTACTGTTGTTTTCCGACGACGTGTTGGAGCCGCCGTTGTTCGCATTGCGGCTACTGCGGCTCCGCGACATGGCTACCTCGGGAAAGGCGCCGACAACGGGCGTCGAAGTCTTGGACGTTCGGCCGGGTCGGCCTGAGGCTGGGGCCGGCGCAGGGGCATCAATCTCCATGCTCTCTGGTTCTGGCTGCCCCAGGTCTTCCACCTTCATATTCGATGTTTCAAATGTTGGTTGTGCGTCTGCAGGCTCTTTCGGAGTTGATGTCACTTTGGTCGAGGCATTGTCCCGCGCAATGCCAGCAGCTTGCTCGATTTCGGCAATCATGTTGCTGGTTGGAACTTGCTGTACAGAGTGGGAAGAGGACGGTCGACGTCCGGGTGGGACATCCTGATCTTTGCCTGATGTCACAGACGTTGCCGTAGAATTCTTGCGAGCCCGCGCTGACAGGGGTCGATCTGCTGCGCCAGCAGTGGATTTATTGATGGCAAAGTTAGCAGCGAGAGGCGATGCGGCCATAGGCGGCGAGTATGTCGGCATTGGGTTCTTGCGTTGCGCGGGCGCAGGAGCTGCTCGTGGCTTGCGCTTCGCAGCGCTGTTCTCTGGGACTGGCGTGCCTCGCGGGCTTGATCCACCTCGTGCTCCATTGCTGACAGCCTTCAGGGCACTGCTTGTGGACCGTTCCATGGGAGGGGCAGCCGGTGCCGCTGCAGCGAGGGCCTTTTCCGTCTTCTTTCGCTTGCCATTGGGACCTGCACCATTGCTCGATATACCCAGGCCAATCCCTCTGTTTTCAGGTGTGGGCGCCGTCTCCGCAGGTGCTGGCTTCCTCTTCTGGGGTTTCTTCGCTGGTCGGTCATCAAAGTCCGAATCAACCTGCTGGTGCCGATTGCGTTTATTCGCGTGCATCGCCTCGCGCCGGGCCTCGCTTTTTGCAGCAATGGAGTCAACATCATGCACGTGTTGGGCCGCTGCCGCAAGGTTATTCGCCGCTGCTACTTCACGCCGCTGCCGTTCGTGGGACTGGCCGCCCTTCTTCTTTTCCTCCTTGTCTGCATAAGCCCAGTGGGTGAGGCTACCGTATCGTGCTTCGTCGCTGATCTCGCCATCGAGCTGCGCGTACGAGTGGTGCATCCGCATGAGGCCTTTGTCTTTGGTGGCCTTTGCGCCCTGAAGCACTACCAGTTTCTCGTCGAGCGTAGGGAGCATGTTTGCGATGAGCATGCGCAGGCGATAGAAGAGCTGGCGCTTCCGTATCGCGGCCTGCTCTTCCGGAGAGAGGGCCTCAGGGTTCTGAGACGACTGCAGGTGTTAAGCTTTTACAGCTACCCTATGTGACGTCGGGACTTACGTTGGCGCTGTTTTCCGCTCCCGCTGCATTCTGGCCGGCAGCTGATGCTTGAGCCCTTGTTGTGACGGGCTGGTGGGCAATCTCGTCGAGCAACTCCTCAAGCAAGTGTTCCGGATCGTGTAGCTTAGCCTCGACCTCCTTGAACATGGAAAAGTGCTTGATAATTTCCTTGGGGAATGCATCGACGGCGCCTGTGAAGTGTGTGAGAGCTGGCAGGAAGCCGGGCGCGCTGGTCGAGGCCTCTGGTGTCTGTTCCATTCCGCTGGCAGCAAGTCGACCGGCAAAGGTGCGCGCATAGTAGTTTGTAGGCCGGACCGTGGCCCTGCCCTGTCTCGTAGAGGTTCGTGTGCCTGTGTTGGGCGGCATCGTGGCTGGAGGAGCGCTGGGTCGGGTGGATGGCGTTGGAGAGGCCGCGAACGCGCTCAACCCAGAAGAGGGTGGGTAGAATGGACTTTTGTAATAGAAATGACGTATGGGCGCATGTCAAGCAACAAGAGAGGGTTTGCTGGCGTGCCCAGCGATTTGCTTGTCGGAGAAACAGAGTGCAGCGTTGACCAGGAGCTCCTCACTACCCGTCGACAAGCGCGAAAAGACGCCAAGGCTGTTGACGGAATTGAGCCTCTTCGCGCACGTGTGTCCGTTATCGCTGCTAGCTCCCCCCGATAGGTGACTAAGCAAAGGCGACCTCGCTTTCCAACTTGACTCGATTTTTCCCATTGCAAATGCATAATGCCTTCATGGTAGATTTTCTTCGTTTGCGCTGATATGTCTAGAAGTTCTGTCCGGGATTGTTTTTGTGCCGATAGGGTCCATAGGCGTAGCTCCGGCCCATAATTCCTTCACCCATCAAAGTCCCTTAGGAAGACTATTGTCGCGTGCCGATTGAGACGACTACCTCTTTTTATGATTGGATGTCTAGAATATGGAATTTTTACATTCTTCAATTCGTTCATCGGCCATTATATGGTTCTCAAGCCCTTGATCATACCGAGCTCCAGGTACCGTTGACTGCCAAGATACTCGAATTCGAACAATCAGAGATGCAGGGGCTTCGTTCAATCTGCTGTTCCAAGATGACCAGGCGTTCATGAAAATTGATTGATCAGCCATCGTATATAATTCAAGGTCCTCGAAAGCGGCCTTGTAGTGGTGGTTCGGTAGTTTTGTCGAATGAGGTAGTACACGTAGGTTGTCGCTTCCAAACTCATTACCTCCTACCGTATTAGTCACTTCCTAGTGCCAAATCTGGGAATTTGCAAACATGCGTAAAACCACATGCTTTACTCTATTCACTCTTGGTCGATTCTAGAGGCAATACTTCTTTGATTCATCTCCAGTCTTTGTGAGCACTGTCAGGAGATTCCGTCACGTCTCCCTCGCGTTTGTCTAATGCTGTCTTCGTTGGAGGTCACTCCAACACCACGATGCCCGGTCGTTACCAATCGCTGCATGTGTCCATTCGATGATTGATATGTGATCATCTTGGTTAAGGCTGATCGCGCGTGACGGTCCATTCATGGTGTAGAGGTATGAGGGCCACATGCAAACGAAACGCTGCGTAGTCACCTGTCAGGTCATCGTATCCCATGGAATTCGCAGCTGGCTTCAATTGCGGGGCACATGGTTGTTTGGCGAGTCTCACTTGGTTTTGAGCTATGCTCGTCGAATCGTACGTCACTGCAGTGAATTGCGGCTGCATCATGCAGTTCATCACTGCGCATCAATGAGGGTGAGCTGGCCAAGATTTGACTCAAACGGCGCGACTATTGTCACTGGGGACTTGAATTCACTACTTGTCTGCCTGCCGCAATCCTACCGCTACGTACTCTCTTTCCCACTTCAAAAACCTCTCGCCCAGCAGCGTCGAGACCTCGTCCGGGACTGAACGCTGTCAAGCCAATAGACCAACATCTTTCCGTCACTCTATCTCATCACCATTCCGTTCTAGACTTCTTCTTAACAGCGCTTTCAACATGTCCACCAACTGCAAGGTTAATCTCCCGACAAACCCCCTCCCGACTGAGATCACTAGGGCTGAGATCATCCGCAAAGCCATGAGCCTCAACAACTTTTTGAACAAGCCAACTGCGGACCTCAAGGGGGGCGAGGCACATGAACCAGCTTCGCCTCATGATCCGCCCACTTGTATGAAAGATGAGGTCTCGCCGCCTAGTGTGTCCTCAGACACCCCTGTGGCCGAGCCAGTAAGTGTTTGCATCGCTAAGCACTTGTTTCTGAGTCCCTCTTATTGCACCACTGCAACGCGCTCCAAAAAGATGCGTAGAACAGAGACTAAAAGGCCTTGTGTCAACAGGTAGTGCCTGGTAGTAGCTCAGAGCAAGCAGATGACGAGGACGAGGACGACGTCCCCGACTCCCAGCGCGAATTCATCTGCATGAACGACCGACACACACGTTGTCAGACCGGTCAGTACACCAAAGACCTGTCGCGCAAGGTCATCTCGGATCACTTTGGCCGCAACAAGGCCTGTACGCGTGACATTACAGAGTGGCCACTCTTCTGCCGCAAGCACTACCAGCGTGCGACTTACGACAAGACAAAGTGGCAGATCC